TATTTGCTTATATAAAAATATTGTGTTCGAGCGACATCTGAAAAAAGAAAATAATATTAATGGAAAAGGAAAGATGGAATACGAGAAAAGAAACGATACTTTAGATTAGATTGATATGATCATTTTCGATAGAATAATGTTATTTTATTAATTTTCTATTTATTTAAAAACCGAATAAACGAAAGTAATTCTTTTTTTTTTGTTTTTCACAATAGTCTTAAATGGGTACCGTTGATGATGAACAAATTCGTATACTCATTTTAAATGAAGGTGAAGATAAAAGTGAAGAATTATTTCGATTAAAAAAAGGTTTGAATAATAAATAAATAAATAAATAAAATAAGATAAAAATAAATATCTTAATTAAAGGATGGATTCTTCGAATAGTTTTATCATCTTGTTTATCGTGGAGAGAAGTTCGAATATTTACAAATGCTTGTCTTTATGAAAAAGATCAATTTAAACGAAATAATTATCAAGAATTAAAATGGATTTATCCATCAACTAGAATATATGATGATTCAGATCGTTATGTATCGATTTTATGTTCTAAATCTGGTTCATTTCATTATTATTTTACTATTGATGGAACAACGTAAGTTGACATTTTTATAAAAAATAAATGAGAAAAGAAAATATTTTCTTAAATAGAGCTAAAGAAAATCTAAATGGTCAAGGTTATTTTCAAGTTGAATCACATTTAGTTTGGCCAGATGGAAGTAATGAAGTATTAGAAGAAGAATGTATAACATGTCAAACAGTATTATCAAAATGTTTAGGTCCTTTATCTGAATGGTTATCACGTCTTGAAGTAACACGTCATTCAGGTTATAATATGATACATTTTACACCAATTCAATTCCTTAATAATATATCAAATTCATCATATTCAATAAGTGATCATCATAAATTAAATAGAATATTTGAGGGAACATATGAACAAATGAAAATATTAATTGATTATATCGGTAAAGAGTGGAGAATATTCTCAATAACTGATCTTGTTTATAATCATGCAGCTGATGATTGTACTTTTCTTCAAGATCATCCTGAAGGTTCTTATAATTTAGTTAATTCTCCATATTTAAAACCAGCTGTATTAGTTGATTCAATATTAATGCAATTTACTTATGATGCAAGTCAAGGAAAACTTTTATCAAAAGGTATACCATCTGAAATAAAAGAACATCATTTACCATTAATTTGTCATTATTTACTTAATGAAATATTTCCTCAATATCGTTTATGGGAATATTATATATGTGATACAAATAAATTAATTGAACTATTTAATAAACAATTATCTAAACGAGATAATTGTCCTGATAAATCTTCATATGATAATGATGATTTAATTAAAATAAATCATCATAAATATAATAGAATGAAAAGTTTAATTGATCTTGATTTAGCTGAAAAAGTTTATTTTTATAAAAGAGAATATTTAACAACTAAACAAGAATGGATTGATGCAGCATGTAATGCATTACGTGATCGTCTTCATTTTTTAAATCATTGTGTTTGTCAAAAATTAAACGAAAATTTAAATCGAGCTATTGACAATTCTATTGCTTCATGTCGTTATCATTTTTTTTCATATGATGGACCAAAATATAAAAAACTATGTTTACCATCAACACCATTTGTTGGAAATTATTTTCATTATCCAAATAGAGAATTAAAACATCCAGATGATATAAATCAATTAATTGAAGATGATATTAATTATCAAACATATGTTATGGCTCATAATGGTTGGATTATGAATGATGATCCACTTAGACATTTTCCTCAGCCAGGTTTACAGATTTTTTTTTTTATTTTTAGTCAAACAAACATTTTTTCTTATAAAAGAGAAACTAAGCAATGATTATATATTTTTTATTCAGATTTGAACTAAAGACGATTTTTGATGAGTTTTATAGAATGGATTGAAAAATTGATTGTTGATCTAGATAAGTTTATCCAATTTTGTTCGATATCCTATTTTATTGAGTATTATCGAAGAAAATCGAATAAACTTACCTTGATCCACTCCTATATTTCTAATTTGTGATTAAAACTATTTTAATTAGTGATAGAAATAATCGATTGAGATATTTTTTATCAATAATAGTCAGATGATTTTATTTAAAGATTAATATCATTTTTGCATATCGATTTGTGATGATTGTCTTTATAATAGAAAATGATCTAGTTTAATAATAATAAATCTATTAAAGAAAATGAGACTGAAAGGAAAATAAAGGTCATTTTGAAATATTGATTATTTATTTATTTGGAAAGAATCGAAATAAAACTAAAAAACTAATAGTTTTTTGTTAATTAATTCTAGTTGAGAATGATTTGAGAATAGGTAGGATGAACTATGGTTAATTGATAATGTCTATCGTTAAATGATTGTTAACAATATAATAATAGATAAATATATATTCGATTGATTATTTAAAATCTGAATTAAAAAAAAAACAAAAAGAATTATCTTATATGAATATAATTGATTGTAGAATAGAATAAATAATTAAATTCTTTTTAATATAATTATAAAATAATTAAAATAAATATTATTTAAAAAGAATAGTTAATATGATAAATTAAATTTATAAAATAAAAAAAAATCTTTTTTTGTTAAAGGAGACGAAACTTATTTACGACGAGATTTAATTGTATGGTCTGATTTAATAAAAGTTCGTTATGGTTCAAACTGTGAAGATTGTCCATCATTATATTTCTATATGAAAGAATATACACGTTTAATAGCAACAACATTTCATGGTTGTCGTATTAATAATTCTCATTCAACACCATTATGGTTATTACAACAAATGATGGATTATTCTAGAGAAATAAATCCCTATTTTTATATTAATGGAGAACTTTCAACAGGAAATATAAAAAGTGATCTTCATTTTATTAATCAAATTGGAATTAATTCTTTAATTAAAGGTTAATTTATTCATTTTTTTTTCTTTGTTAAACAAAAATAAACAAGAAATGAAATTTTTTTAGAATCACATCGAGCATTTGATCCATATGAATTAGGTGAAATGATATCATTAGTTAGTCAAGCTGATCCAATTGGTTCATTTAATAAATGTAAAACTCGTCAATTATTACCATCAAAACCATATTCATGGTTTTATGATCAAACACATTATAATTCATCTCTAATTGAAAGAAGATCAGTTGAAGATCTTCTTCCACGCTCAGCTTGTCTTGCTATGGCTTATTCTTCAACTGGTTCAAATCGAGGTTATGATGAATTAATTCCACATCATATTGATCTTGTTCATGAAACAAGATTTTATGCCAAATGGGGTTATCAACATAAACAAATAAATGATAAAACTGCTATGATTTATATTAAAAAAGTTTTAAATAAATTACATATTGATCTTGCTCAACAAGGTTTTACTCAGGTTTGTTTTATTAGAAAACGTTCAGGTCTTTTATTTTTCTCTTTTAAATCGAGACCATTTGAAAAACTATTAAGATTTTAATTCGAACAATTTAACGAAAATAAATTTAATTATATCGAGAAATTCTAAACAAAATAAAATAATGAAATATTATCTTGAAGAAAAAAACAGGTAGAAAAATAGTATCGTATAACGTGTCGAACATTTTCGGATGAACACACCACGGATTTTCGTCAAGGGTGTTCCAGTTGCTATGTTTGTGGAATGAACGAAGGGAAATGTCGAGCAGTTAAACGAAGAAAAGAAGGCCTTATCAAAGTTTCTCTGATCAGATCGAGCCGAAAATTAGATAAGAGGCGCGAAATATCATTCTGAATTTTATAAATTAGAAATGCATTATATACTCCCATATCCAATAGGTCGAAAAAAAAAACTTTCTTCTACTATCTTACCAATTTTCTTATAGATTCGGAAAATGACATTTGCATATTAACATGATCGACTGCGCCTCTGTTTTTAGTGTAGTCGAGAATGCAGACAGGTTTCTGAATCTCTTCTTCAGTTTGTCGATCTATTTTGTCTGACTTCGCACATACTACCGAATAAATGGTTGAAAGCATGTGACCACATGTGCTAGTTTTATTTCGATGTATAGTGGTGAAAAAGTGCTTGTCTTGTAAACGAAATGTCAAGGTATAAATGGTATCCTTTATTCAAATAATGTTGTATCAATTCCAATAGAATTGATCCACTCAATCCAAGTTCAGATAGAATTTGACATTCTCTATTTGATCTAGTGTAAACGATGAAGTCGAGAATAAATTTAGTTTCACAGTCGACGAGCTCATAAATCGATGACGCTTAGACGTAATATATTGTCTGAATCCAAGCCCTCCTTTTCATAATATCAGATTTTCATCACTGCAAAGATTTTGTGTTGGATTGACACAATTTAAAAAATTCTTCTTCAACCCATCTATGATTGCCTTTATTTTCTCGAGAAG